GTTCGCTGCTCTCGTGCTCCATCTCCATCTATTAACAAAGATATTAAGTCATCATTTGTTCTGTGGTATTGATGGGGGACATGGGTCTGAGAGTGAAATCTTGTTAGTGGTGTTTGTACGTCTGCTGTGAAGCACTCGACGTGTGACTTCCACTTCCCTCATTGCCCTGTTCAAGGTTTGGCTGACAGCATCTCTGTGTCACTTCAGTCAGAGTTGGATGTTTGCTTGGCGTCATTGTAAACGGGGCATCATGAGAACTGCATGCATGGCCTCAGAAAATACTGGACAGATTGAGACACTGTACCGTTTGGAAAAACTTGAGATGTGACTTTATGAAGTGTAAAGGTACACTGCTCGGACATGTTAGGTCAAGTTACTACGTTTACATACTTGAACGATGTTCTGTCAAAACTGACTACGTTTTGGATACATAGAAATATTGATTTTCCATTGTCAGATTTTCAGCTTGAATTGTTGTAGTTTTGTTATTCACCATTTCCATCTTTGATCTACAGACAAGGCGACTAGAGCTGTCTCAATGGAATAGTTGGTATGGTAAACACATACAGAGAGTATTTTATTTCCATTTCTGGAAGAAATTTGTTCAGAACTTCAAGGAGTAAGATGTGTGTCTTCTTTGTAGCTTTGATGAAATTCTTCAATAACCACCACTTGTACATGTGAGGTGGAACTGCAATTCTTCACTCACATTGTATGTAATCCCCTGTAGACACCGTCCTTACATCAACTCTGACATGCCATCACTTGTACATGTGAGGTGGAACTGCAATCCCCTGTAGACACCGTCCTTACATCAACTCTGACATGCCATCACTTGTACATGTGAGGTGGAACTGCAATCCCCTGTAGACACCGTCCTTACATCAACTCTGACATGCCATCACTTGTACATGTGAGGTGGAACTGCAATCCCCTGTAGACACCGTCCTTACATCAACTCTGACATGCCATCACTTGTACATGTGAGGTGGAACTGCAATCCCCTGTAGACACCGTCCTTACATCAACTCTGACATGCCATCACTTGTACATGTGAGGTGGAACTGCAATCCCCTGTAGACACCGTCCTTACATCAACTCTGACATGCCATCACTTGTACATGTGAGGTGGAACTGCAATCCCCTGTAGACACCGTCCTTACATCAACTCTGACATGCCATCACTTGTACATGTGAGGTGGAACTGCAATCCCCTGTAGACACCGTCCTTACATCAACTCTGACATGCCATCACTTGTACATGTGAGGTGGAACTGCAATCCCCTGTAGACACTGTCCTTACATCAACTCTGACATGCCATCACTTGTACATGTGAGGTGGAACTGCAATCCCCTGTAGACACCGTCCTTACATCAACTCTGACATGCCATCACTTGTACATGTGAGGTGGAACTGCAATCCCCTGTAGACACCGTCCTTACATCAACTCTGACATGCCATCACTTGTACATGTGAGGTGGAACTGCAATCCCCTGTAGACACTGTCCTTACATCAACTCTGACATGCCATCACTTGTACATGTGAGGTGGAACTGCAATCCCCTGTAGACACTGTCCTTACATCAACTCTGACATGCCATCACTTGTACATGTGAGGTGGAACTGCAATCCCCTGTAGACACTGTCCTTACATCAACTCTGACATGCCATCACTTGTACATGTGAGGTGGAACTGCAATCCCCTGTAGACACCGTCCTTACATCAACTCTGACATGCCATCACTTGTACATGTGAGGTGGAACTGCAATCCCCTGTAGACACCGTCCTTACATCAACTCTGACATGCCATCACTTGTACATGTGAGGTGGAACTGCAATCCCCTGTAGACACTGTCCTTACATCAACTCTGACATGCCATCACTTGTACATGTGAGGTGGAACTGCAATCCCCTGTAGACACCGTCCTTACATCAACTCTGACATGCCATCACTTGTACATGTGAGGTGGAACTGTAATCCCCTGTAGACACCGTCCTTACATCAACTCTGACATGCCATCACTTGTACATGTGAGGTGGAACTGCAATCCCCTGTAGACACCGTCCTTACATCAACTCTGACATGCCATCACTTGTACATGTGAGGTGGAACTGCAATCCCCTGTAGACACCGTCCTTACATCAACACTGACATGCCATCACTTGTACATGTGAGGTGGAACTGTAATCCCCTGTAGACACCGTCCTTACATCAACTCTGACATGCCATCACTTGTACATGTGAGGTGGAACTGTAATCCCCTGTAGACACCGTCCTTACATCAACTCTGACATGCCATCACTTGTACATGTGAGGTGGAACTGCAATCCCCTGTAGACACCGTCCTTACATCAACACTGACATGCCATCACTTGTACATGTGAGGTGGAACTGTAATCCCCTGTAGACACCGTCCTTACATCAACTCTGACATGCCATCACTTGTACATGTGAGGTGGAACTGCAATCCCCTGTAGACACCGTCCTTACATCAACTCTGACATGCCATCACTTGTACATGTGAGGTGGAACTGTAATCCCCTGTAGACACCGTCCTTACATCAACTCTGACATGCCATCACTTGTACATGTGAGGTGGAACTGCAATCCCCTGTAGACACCGTCCTTACATCAACTCTGACATGCCATCACTTGTACATGTGAGGTGGAACTGCAATCCCCTGTAGACACTGTCCTTACATCAACTCTGACATGCCATCACTTGTACATGTGAGGTGGAACTGCAATCCCCTGTAGACACCGTCCTTACATCAACACTGACATGCCATCACTTGTACATGTGAGGTGGAACTGTAATCCCCTGTAGACACCGTCCTTACATCAACTCTGACATGCCATCACTTGTACATGTGAGGTGGAACTGCAATCCCCTGTAGACACCGTCCTTACATCAACTCTGACATGCCATCACTTGTACATGTGAGGTGGAACTGTAATCCCCTGTAGACACCGTCCTTACATCAACTCTGACATGCCATCACTTGTACATGTGAGGTGGAACTGCAATCCCCTGTAGACACCGTCCTTACATCAACTCTGACATGCCATCACTTGTACATGTGAGGTGGAACTGCAATCCCCTGTAGACACCGTCCTTACATCAACTCTGACATGCCATCACTTGTACATGTGAGGTGGAACTGCAATCCCCTGTAGACACTGTCCTTACATCAACTCTGACATGCCATCACTTGTACATGTGAGGTGGAACTGTAATCCCCTGTAGACACCGTCCTTACATCAACTCTGACATGCCATCACTTGTACATGTGAGGTGGAACTGCAATCCCCTGTAGACACCGTCCTTACATCAACTCTGACATGCCATCACTTGTACATGTGAGGTGGAACTGTAATCCCCTGTAGACACCGTCCTTACATCAACTCTGACATGCCATCACTTGTACATGTGAGGTGGAACTGCAATCCCCTGTAGACACCGTCCTTACATCAACTCTGACATGCCATCACTTGTACATGTGAGGTGGAACTGCAATCCCCTGTAGACACCGTCCTTACATCAACTCTGACATGCCATCACTTGTACATGTGAGGTGGAACTGCAATCCCCTGTAGACACCGTCCTTACATCAACTCTGACATGCCATCACTTGTACATGTGAGGTGGAACTGCAATCCCCTGTAGACACTGTCCTTACATCAACACTGACATGCCATCACTTGACAAACACACTTGTTACTTGGTCTGTACGTTTTGAAGTGAGTGTATTGTCCTGAAAGATGTCACCAGTTCCTTCGGGGTCATTGATACCATTGAGGTATGGTGTTCTCATGGCTCAAAGGTTAACAAAACAGGGGCACATCAAAGCATTCACAACAAGAAACATTAGTTTAAGTGTGCAGTTTAAGTTTTTTTAAAAACTCGATATCGCAAACGTCTGTACTGCAACCTTCGAGTCTGTAAAGATGTCCTTTATTTTAAACATTGACTTTTCAATTTTTTCACAAGCCAGTCAAACAGCTTGATTTTTAATGAATGAGTGAATGTTGCGTATTGTGGCAGAGCGCCATGTTGTAACTGTGCAGCTGTGACCTGTAATAAACTAGTGGTTGATATTATGAGCATGCTACAACACTGTTTGGGTATGATGACACGCCATCAACCTAGTCAACATGGGAGATTTTCATATGACTCGTCCTGTTCAAATGTTACTTGCATTTGTCTGTTGGATCAGTGAATTGTCAGACCTTGTATATTTGTCTCCCTGCTGCTCGACACGCTCACACAGACAGTTGAAGCTGTAAATAAACAGTTTGAGGATAATTCATGCATCCCTGTAACGTTTCATATCAGCTACTGTTTGGGGGGTTAAAGGTTGGTTATTCTGTCAGTACATTTAAGTTAACTCAAAACATGTGGGTTTATTCTCAAACTTTAACAATATCATGATCATTCAAGGAATATCCCATTTCACAGTGATCTGTACACTAAGTGAATTATTTTGATAAAGTGTCAGGTTTATTTTGTCATTTTTTTTATGTTTGTAAATCGAACAAAAGGATGTTTTTAACTTTCAAGTTCATGCCGTCTAAATCCATTAAGAAATACAAGTCAATTTAACCCGTCAGTTCAATCTTGTAGTCAGATCAATATCCCCAAATGAAATTACCTCCACACGATTGCAAGTGGGATAAGTTATCTCAGCTCAGTTCCTTCTTCAGGCCAAGTGGTGATAATTGACAGAATTAACTCCATGTCATAATCACAATTCATTCTGTGTAAATTTATCACATGTTTCTCAACACGCAACAAACAATGGGACTGATTATTCATTTCTCTGCAAACCCTTTTTGACAAAGCATTATCCTTGATAATTGTGTTTATTCTGGGGATTGTGTTTTCCCACCATTGATTTCTGAATTTGTCATGGCTTCAGCAACATCCAGGCCATCTTACACATCTGTTTCTTTAGTTGTCCTTAGATGCTTCAACTGAACTCTTTTCATTTCCACAGTTGTGAGTTTTTGGGAACTCAGGAAGAGCTTGAAGAGCATATGAAAGTTTGCAAGTTCGATAGCATGAAGGAGTTCCTACAGAGGACAGACGAGAGGATGTCCGACCTACAGTTCACACTCAACCAGAAGGATCAGGAAATTGAGTTCCTCCGTTCGATGTTGGGAAAGCTATCGGAACGTCTCGAGTCGCTGGAGAAATCTGTTGATTTAAAGCTGGGTGAGTGGAATTCCGATTGTATAAAAATGTAAGTGACTTATTAACAAGTCATCAAGGATTTCTGTGATCATCTGACCATTATCATAGTTGGCGTTATATTTTCCCCACAGTTGATAACATGCTGCGCTTGCAAATTGGCCTTTCTTTTTTTCTTTCTCCTTTTTGCTGCTTGACTAATGGCCCGATTCAAAACAGCACTAATTCCCACATCACCAACTCACTTAATATTTGCGATATATAAGCTATTGACATGCAGTAAACTATGTTTATAACACAGTCGCTTATAATGAACTACAGTTATAACAAACTAAAATTAGTGGTCCCTTTGAGTTCGTTTATTGTAATTTAAAGTTTTAATCACTATATCTTCACCTCGTAGATGAAGGTGAAAACCCAACTCACTCAATACATAGTTTTTTGTTTGTTATTTGTTTGTTTATTGTTGGATTCCACACTTAGCAATATTTCCGCTTTACGATGGCAGTCTGTAAATAATCGAGTCAGGCCCAGCCAATCAAGTGATTGACATCATGAGCATCAATCCATGCACTTGACTACAATGACTTGCTATCAGCCAAGTCAATGAACCTGACCACCCAGTTCCATTTATTGCTTCTATGACAAGAGACCTGTGAAGACTCGGGGTAGAATAGATCTACAGCAACCCATTCTTGCCGTAAAAGGCGACTAGCAAGATCGGGTGGTCAGTTTCGCTGACTTGGTTGGTGCATGTCATTCTTTTCCAATTGCATGAATTGATGCTCATAATGTCAATCACTGAATTGTCTGGTCCAGACTTGATTATTTGCAGACTGACGTCACATTGCTGGAATATATTGCTGAATGTGGCATTAAACAACAAACAAATAACAAAACAAATCTTATGACAAGAATGGGTTGCTGGGAACCTATATTCTTGCTCCCGTGTCTGTCTGTCTGTCTGTCTGTCTGTCTGTCTATCTATTTATTCACCAGAGCACATTTGCATAGGGGTCATAGTGCTGCAACTATTGTATTATAAAGTCTGTTAAGGAATGGGTGTTAGTCTTAGCGCTAAGGTAACTTGTCCATGTGGCCTGTGGGATGTCCGCTGAAGTAATCTGATGTCATGGCCTATTGGTCTTCTCCTCCCAGGGATTTATCCAGACCTGCTCAGACGCTGATATTCAGCCCCACGTTTGCAGGAAATCAGAGTACAAATTCCCAATTTGAATTAATAATTTCTTATATCCTCAGAATTAACAAAAATATGAACAGTTAAAAATTCCCGTTTTGAACAAAATCACTCAATATTTTTACCAATTTGCCTGCTATGGTACTTAGTTTGGAATCTTGGATAAATCCCTGCCTCATCAGAAACTGATCTTAAGGTGGTGCATTTTGCTGTATAGTTGCTAAGCCAGGATATGCTGATCACGGCTTTGTATGACATGTTAGTTTGGAGCTGTATTTAAGCTGGTGATGACTTTGGACGTTCCTCAGTGCTGTGTACGCCTTACTGCTTTATGTTGCCCAGGTCTGGTGGAGCGGACCCAGAACAAGATCATGAATGACATGATAGAAAACAGGAGAGAATATGCTGACGTGGCAGTAAGTACTGTCTCACAGGTTTAGGAGGCTTTAGTAATGTAATCCCAGAGTAAATCAGATAAGAACTAAGAGTGCTGTCTGCTCATCGGTCTTGCAATTCCCATAACCATCATGTAGCTGTGGATGAAGTCTGCAAGATGGAGGTGCTGCTCCAAGTAGATATAGAACCCATTGATGATATTTAGGTCTGCTCCAGATCTAGTAGGATTGCTGTCCGCACTTCTTGATATGGACAGGGAAATCGAAGCACCATCCCCGTCTCACAACATCCACCCCCAACTACAGACTTGCAGGAGTCTCTAAAGCAATAATTATTAGTTTAAATCATAATTTATAGATTATTTAACTAATAAGGACAAGTTGTCCCTTTTTGAGACTGGCGTCCTTAGACTTAGACTGTCCACATATCTATTAGGAGGATAGAATTACTACACATCCATAGACATATCTTTCAGTACAGGGGGCACAGGTGGCCCAGTCGTCTGAGGCGCCACTATTCGCTGTGCAGAGTTGCGTCCCTTGGGCACGCCAGAAACCTATGATTGTGGGTTCGAATCCTGGGTCGCCCCGATTATGTTTCTAGGTTTGTCAGCACCATACCCGTCTTCGTGGGTTTCACTGAAGTGGTAAACGTCTGAGACCTGCATCACTTCGGTCTTTCCTCCCACATTAAGCTGACACGCCGTGATATAACTGGAATACTGTTAAAATTGGCATTAAACCCAACTCACTCACTCACTCTTTCAGTACAGCCTTGGAGCAAGGCTACCCAACTAATACTAACATGAATAAAAAAAATGTTTTACTGATGAGAAACGATGACCGATGACATCAAGAAGAGAAGAGACATGTGGTAATGTGAACAGAACATTCCCATCTGAGATGTAGGCTAGTCAAGACATGTAGGCTAGTCAAGACATGTAGGCTAGTCAAGACATGTAGGCTAGTCAAGACATGTAGCACAGACATTGGCAGGTAGTTCTTGTAGGTGTGTTTCCTCGGACGTCTCTGTTTCAGCCTTGCTGGTTATCAGGGCAGAAACTGACTTTTGCATTATGTATATCTGTTATTGATAAATCCGTTTCGAGTGCAACGTCTTATCAAGGTCAGGTTTGCAAATAGATGTGCAATTGTCAACCTGCATCTCTAACTGGTCCTAGTCTCTGCAAAACTATAAATTACCAGCATTTTTTTATCCAGTCAGCAAAATACCACTTTATTTTTTAAATTACATCCAGCAAAAACGGGTTGTATTGATCGTATGTTTGAGTTACTTGCAAGTCACTGATGATGTTGTCTGTATGTTGTCCTGCATGCAAGGGATGATCAAGTTCATGGGGTGTGTTGTCTCTGGAATCCGTGAGGAAAGCCTTGTCCTTGATAATTCCTCCAGGAAACCACTAGATGGTGACTGTTTCACCAGCACAAAAACAACTCTAGTTTCAACCATATAATTCTTCTGGCATTAAGAAAACTCCATCATACTTTCCTTCCTTCATAAAAATATTGAAAGATGTATGTAAAATAGAAAAAAAGATTGCAATGAAAAATAGTAGTATTAATAGATTTGACAGAAAATCAAAAGAATTATCAGCCTACTTATTATAATATACCGGGTATCAGTCAAACCAATATATGTATATTACCAATATCTTGATCATGTTTTAAGATCCTATGAATTGCTACGCTTATATAACTCATGTACCTATGTTACAGATACATGTCTACTGAATTGAAATAAAATAGTTAGAAAAAAACAAACTTCTCAGGAATGGGCAATGGGATGTCTTCAGATCTTTGTGTGGCGGTCGTGAGCACTAAGATCTGATTTTAATGAGATTGTGATATATACAATATAACATAAGTTCACAGATTTATTTAAACAACTAATTAAATGTCCAATTTAAGGAAGTGTTTTTAATGATGGAACATATGAGTTAAAATTATCATTGACAATATTGGTTCCATTATTCTGGAAACAAGTTTCTTCTTGTCCGCAAACAAGAACCATTTTGCAAAAGGTAGCAAAAATACCTATTCACTACTGCTATTTATTCTCAACTTGATTTCTAAATCATGCTTGACATTGCATACCTAGAAGTATTGATTTTTAGAGTGTTTTGAGAGATAATCTGTCACCTACCTACACAAATCAGTTAAAATAATTCAACTAAATACTAAAAAAGAGCTTTAATAATGTAATCCCAGAGTAAATCAGATAAGAACTAAGAGTGCTGTCTGCTCATCGGTCTTGCAATTCCCAGAACCATCACATAGCTGTGGATGAAGTCTAGAAGATAGAGGTGCTGCTCCAAGTAGATATAGAGCCCATTGATGATATTTAGATCTGCTCCAGATTTCAAAGGGAGACACAATTTATGGATAACAACTTCTTTAATTACTTTAAAGGCGACATCTACTTTGTCATCTGTCAACTTCTAAGTAATGCCTATGAAACAATGGTCCAGATTTGTTAGGATTATAACCACTGATGGGATGAATTGAATTGAATTCAGATTCTTAAACATACATCAAGCTATGTGCCTTTGATTCGTAGTTTTATAGGATGGAGACACACTCAGTTGTCTCAGCTGAAGGTCCATGACAACCTGGATGCTTGAACTGATCCCGAGATGTTGGCACAGTTTGAAAGAAGTCCAGTCTAGATTCATGTGTCATGGTGGCATGGGGGTAGATTGACTAGCCTAGTTGTGGAGGTGTTTGCTTGTCACACTGTAAACCTGGGTTTGTTTCAATACTGAATTGAAGTATTATTTATACTTGATATTGTCTACATTGAGATTCCCCAGCAGAATGGATCTCATGTCGCCCTGCTTGTAATACATGGCCCCTAATTTGGGGACTTGGTGGCCACAGAGGTGCTGCAGGATGACTGAGGTAGAACTCACGGAACTTCACAGTCTGTTGGGTGGTCTAAGGTGTTGTAGGATGACTGAGGTAGAACTCACGGAACTTCACAGTCTGTTGGGTGGTCTAAGGTGTTGTAGGATGACTGAGGTAGAACTCACGGAACTTCACAGTCTGTTGGGTGGTCTAAGGTGTTGTAGGATGACTGAGGTAGAACTCACGGAACTTCACAGTCTGTGGGGTGGTCTAAGGTGTTGCAGGATGACTGAGGTAGAACTCACGGTACTTCACAGTCTGTTGGGTGGTCTAAGGTGTTGCAGGATGACTGAGGTAGAACTCACGGAACTTCACAGTCTGTTGGGTGGTCTAAGGTGTTGCAGGATGACTGAGGTAGAACTCACGGAACTTCACAGTCTGTTGGGTGGTCTAAGTGATGCTGTGTAGCAGGTTACTTGGTTTGTTGGTTAACTCCGCTCGGCAATATTACAGCTCTATGACAATGGTCAGTTAACAATCTGGACCAGACAATCAAGTGATTGACATCATAAACATCAATCTATGCAGTTGGGATACAATGACATGCTTCAGCCAAGTCAGCGAGCCCGATCACGCGATCCAGTTAGTCGCCTCTTACGACAAGCACAGTCACTTCTTCTGACAAATGTTTGTTACTGAAGACCATTTCTATCCCAGATCTTCACGGGTCAGTTTACTTGGTGATGACAGGGACGTACCAAATGTTATCTGTGCCCTGTGCGCTAGTTTGTCTCTTCCATGTGAATCTTTGCTCATACTATCGACCACTGGTTTGACTGGTGCAGGTTCCTTTACTTTACAAACCTGTGAAGATGTGGGGTAGAATTGGTCTTCAGCAACCCATGCTTGTCGTAGAAGGCGACTATGCTTGTTGCAAGAGGCAACTGACGGGATCAGGTGGTCAGGCTGGTTGACTTGGTTGATGCATGTCATCATATCCCAATTGCGTGGATCGATGCTCATGATGTCAATGACTGGATTGTCTGGTCCAGACTCGATTATTTACAGACCACCATCACATAGCTGGAATATTGCTGAGTGTGGCGTTAAACAACAAACAATACAATACATTACTATACATCTGGTTCTAAGATCTGGGTTAGAACTGGATCTTCAGCAACCTCATGCTTGCTGTAAGAGGCGACTAACAGGATCGGGTGGTCAGGATCGCTGACTTTGATGCATGTTATCGTAGCTCTATTGTGTGGATCGATGCTCATGATATCAATCACTGGATTGTATGGTCCAGATTATATACAGACTGCTGTCATATAGCGTGAACATTGCTGAGTAGGGTGTTAAACAACAAACAAACAAACAAACCTCACAAGTACCACTCTGGTTTCTGGATTAGAAATGTCCCCAGCCGAGTGTAAGAGGCAACTGAATGTATCGGGTGGTCAGACTCTTTGTCTTTGTTGATGGTATGTCATTGTACCCTGATCATTGCTCACAATATCAATCACAGGATTGTCTCCCTGAGACGTGATACGCCAACTGGAATTATGTTCAAAGCAACAATAAATCCCACTCACTCACTCACTCACTCACTCACTCACTCACTCACTCACTCACTCACTCACTCACACCCACTCACTCACTCACTCACTCACACCCACACACTCACTCACTCACCAACCCACACACCAACCCACACACCCACTCACTCACACATACACGCACTCACTCACTCACTCACTCACTCACTCACTCACTCACTCACTCACTCACTCCAACACAGACACCAACCCACTCACTCACACATACTCACTCACTCACTCACACATACACTCACTCACACACTCACTCACACACCAACACACCAACCCACTCACTCACTCACACACTCACTCACTCACTCACTCACCAACACACACCAACCCACACATCAACCCACTCACTCACTCACTCACACATTCACTCACTCACTCACTCACTCACTCACTCACTCACTCACCCACCCACCCACCCACCCACTCACTCACTCACTCACTCACTCACTCACTCAGACCTGGTTATGTACCAGGTTCTGTGCTACCTGGAAGATGAAGCAGGTAAAACATTCAGCAGCACAACACACATGAATATACAACTTGTATAAATCTGGTCAACAGAGCTACTTTTTGGAAGGACTGTGTTTTTGCTTGTTTGATAAATGTCACCAGCTCTCGTATTTCCCAATATGTAACCTAAGCCGACAGACTCATTTGAAAAATAAAATTATGTTTCAATGTTGAGATAGAAGCCCTTTATTTAATCAAATGTTTTCAGTTTCATATGCATTATTGTTGATGTAACCTGGCTGTTTGACAGCGTCTATTATCTTGTCAGTCAGAACCTAGTGGAGAATCTGTATGCTTGGTCACCTTCTGCTTGTCAACATGCCTGATATTATTTCCAGGACGAGGTGTCACATCTGCGGAACCGGCTGAACCTTGGTGCTACTGCTGGAGGTAGGGAGCACAACAGTTATAAATAATGATAATGATGATGCTATGCATTGTGATAATCCTAATTCATAGAAACAGGCCACGATATATTCATTTTATTTTTTCGTCCAAATATTTCACAAATGTGCACCAGGAGGCATTTTTGTTAAAGCATTCGCTCATCACGACGAAGACCCAGGTTCGATTCCCGACATGGGTACAATGTGTGAAGCCATTTCTGGTGACTCCTGCCGTGATATTGCTGGAATATTGCTATAACTGGCGTAAAACCATACTTACTCACTCACTAAAGCTGCATTTTCTTCCAAAGTCAATCAATCATAACAAGCCTATACAGGTCGGATAGCTTTACATTGAAACACAGAATGTTTATCTCTAAACTCAAAACTAAATCAAAGATAATTTACATGGAAACAAAGAACTGAACTTTTTTATACCAATAGACGTTAACAGATGGCTCTACTTTCTACTTTCCCTCGACACTAAGGGAATAAAACAAGATTTAGTCGGCTCAGAGTCAGTATACTGTGTCTGTATTCATTTTAAACTGTAGCATGGTATCTCAGTAGGCAAGCACTTTAATATCTGATGAGTACAAGCAGCCACACACACGTCAGCGTTGGCACTAGTCCTGTTGTCCAAACTGCCCAATAATTAAGGTATCCTAAGGACTAGTAGAAATTTGCCCTTTTTCAGGGAATTGCTATATGTTATCACTATGAGGACTAGTGGACTAAAATTTAGTTTCTACCGCTGATTATGTGGGCACATCATTTTATAAATGCAATAACCTTAAACACGACGTTAAGTCCTAATTCACCTCACTTCTTTCAGTAAGTAAGTATATTTTTCTTCTTCTTCAGCTTACGACCCTATTTCCATGTTCAAATGTAAAGGCACATTTGTCGGACATCAGGTACGTTGTTCAACTTTCCTTGACTACTCAATATTATGGAACAATCAGGAGACACAGTGTGTTGCACGTTCCACGTGAGACAGACATACTTCGACATCGGCACAGTACAAGGAGAGGAGACACAGTGTGTTGCACGTTCCACGTGAGACAGACATACTTCGACATCGGCACAGTACAAGGAGAGAAGGAGACACAGCGTGTTGCACGTTCCACGTGAGACAGACATACTTCGACATCGGCACAGTACAAGGAGAGAAGGAGACACAGTGTGTTGCACGTTCCACGTGAGACAGACATACTTTGACATCGGCACAGTACAAGGAGAGAAGGAGACACAGCGTGTTGCACGTTCCACGTGAGACAGACATACTTCGACATCGGCACAGTACAAGGAGAGAAGGAGACACAGCGTGTTGCACGTTCCACGTGAGACAGACATACTTTGACATCGGCACAGTACAAGGAGAGAAGGAGACACAGCGTGTTGCACGTTCCACGTGAGACAGACATACTTCGACATCGGCACAGTACAAGGAGAGAAGGAGACACAGCGTGTTGCACGTTCCACGTGAGACAGACATACTTCGACATCGGCACAGTACAAGGAGAGGAGGAGACACAGCGTGTTGCACGTTCCACGTGAGACAGACATACTTCGACATCGGCACAGTACAAGGAGAGGAGGAGACACAGTGTGTTGCACGTTCCACGTGAGACAGACATACTTCGACATCGGCACAGTACAAGGAGAGAAGGAGACACAGTGTGTTGCACGTTCCACGTGAGACAGACATACTTCGACATCGGCACAGTACAAGGAGAGAAGGAGACACAGTGTTGCACGTTCCACGTGAGACAGACATACTTCGACATCGGCACAGTACAAGGAGAGAAGGAGACACAGCGTGTTGCACGTTCCACGTGAGACAGACATACTTCGACATCGGCACAGTACAAGGAGAGGAGACACAGCGTGTTGCACGTTCCACGTGAGACAGACATACTTCGACATCGGCACAGTACAAGGAGAGAAGGAGACACAGCGTGTTGCACGTTCCACGTGAGACAGACATACTTCGACATCGGCACAGTACAAGGAGAGAAGGAGACACAGCGTGTTGCACGTTCCACGTGAGACAGACATACTTCGACATCGGCACAGTACAAGGAGAGAAGGAGACACAGCGTGTTGCACGTTCCACGTGAGACAGACATACTTCGACATCGGCACAGTACAAGGAGAGAAGGAGACACAGCGTGTTGCACGTTCCACGTGAGACAGACATACTTCGACATCGGCACAGTACAAGGAGAGAAGGAGACACAGCGTGTTGCACGTTCCACGTGAGACAGACATACTTCGACATCGGCACAGTACAAGGAGAGAAGGAGACACAGCGTGTTGCACGTTCCACGTGAGACAGACATACTTCGACATCGGCACAGTACAAGGAGAGAAGGAGACACAGCGTGTTGCACGTTCCACGTGAGACAGACATACTTCGACATCGGCACAGTACAAGGAGAGAAGGAGACACAGCGTGTTGCACGTTCCACGTGAGACAGACATACTTCGACATCGGCACAGTACAAGGAGAGAAGGAGACACAGCGTGTTGCACGTTCCACGTGAGACAGACATACTTCGACATCGGCACAGTACAAGGAGAGAAGGAGACACAGCGTGTTGCACGTTCCACGTGAGACAGACATACTTCGACATCGGCACAGTACAAGGAGAGAAGGAGACACAGTGTGTTGCACGTTCCACGTGAGACAGACATACTTCGACATCGGCACAGTACAAGGAGAGAAGGAGACACAGTGTTGCACGTTCCACGTGAGACAGACATACTTCGCCATGGGCACAGTACAAGGGGAGAAATTGTAAACCTAATACTGATCTGTACAATATTGGATGCGACCAAAGGTTTTGGTAAAGCTTTTGGTTCACAACGTAAATCAAAATAAGCACTGATCAAGACCTGTAATTACAAGATTGAGGTAGTCGTGCTGGTGTGGAATATGAACTGACTCTCTCCTCATTCACTTTATCTCTAACAGCCTGAAAAGACTGATGTTTGTGATGTAAAGGTGTGAATGTCAAATAGTTTTTTCGCTTTCTTTTGGATGCACCTTTCCTGCTGATTGCATGAAAAGGATATGACCCCTAAGAGTAGAATGATCATGTTAAATAACTTTCCGACTTTTGCGCATGTGCATTTTAGAAATTCTCAATGCTGATTGGCAAACTGGCATTACACGGCTTCATTGTAAAAAAAAATCACTATGAATTATTGTTCATGACATCAGGGGTGGTGGGGTAGCCAAGAGGTTAAAGCGTTTACTCGCCATGCTGAAGACCCGGGTTCTATTCCCCACATGGGTACAATGTGTGAAGCCAAATTCTGGTGTCCCCTGCCGTGATATTGCTGGAATATTGCTAAAGGCAGCGTAAAGCCATACTCACTCATTACATCACAAATTATTTACATTACGTCTTCGGAACAATTGGATGCCTTCAGTGAGGTTTCTTTCATTTTATATGTTTCTTCTTCATTTTCTCTCTTAAAATGTCAATTTGAGGTATATAGAATAACCTTCTCTAAATTTGGATTTACAGATTATCTGTCCGTCTTGATTGAATGCTGTTGTTTTATTTGTTTGTTTGTTGTTTAATGCCACACTCAGCAATATTCTAGCTATATGACAGCGGTCTGTCAATATTCAAGTCTGGACCAGACAATCCAGTGATTGAAATCATGAGCGTCAATCTACGCAGTGGGCTATGATGACATGCATCAACTAAGTCTGCGAACATGACCATCAGATCTCATTGGTTGCCTTTAATGACAAACATGGATTGTTGAAGACCAATTTTATTGCGGATGTTCACAAGGGCCCTACCTTTGAAATGTTTATTGCACTTTGGGCACTTAACATGTCAAATACAGCGAGCCTGACCACCTGTTCCGGTTAGTCACCTCTTACGACAAGCATGGGTTGCTGAAGATCAATTCTAACCTGGGTCTTCATGAGTTGAATGAATAATGTACAGGCTCAGGGTCAACACCGTTCATTCAATCTGGACAGAGGGGCAGAGGGGTAGCCTAGTGGTTAAAGGGTTCCCTCGTCATGCCGAAGACCCGGATTCAATTCCCGACATAGGTACAATGTGTGAAGCCCATTTCTGGTGTCCGCGGCCGTGATATTGCTGGAATATTGCTAAAAGCGGCGTAAAACCAAACTCACTCACTCACTCACTCACTCAATCTGGACAGGTAGTCTGTAAGTCCATGTACAGCTGGTTTGTCTCTAAATGTTTGTCAAACCCATTCCATCCGTGTGGGGAACAAGACTACTAAATATCCCGTCTTCAGAGTTGTTTGCTGTGCTGAACTGCATTCCTTAGAAACCTGTGACTGTAGGTCCGACCACCAGGCTTGCCCTGATTGTTGCTGGGTTTGTCAACACCATGTCACTGCTTGTCAGTTTCAAGTGGTGAATGCGTTAAGGCCTGCATGACTGTGGAACTGCATAGTGTTTAAGGCAGCATTAGGCCAAACTCACTCACTCCAACTTGTTTGACCATATGAATAACTTATCCTCATGTTTGTCTGTGAAGGGTCCTGTGTGGTGCTTATGTCCAATGGGAGACTACTTGTTCAGTGGATCGTCCGATAAAACAATAAAGGTAAGGAATAAACACACTTCCAGTTGTGTTGTTCACTGACCAGGATCAATCCAGAGCACGATATAATGGAGGTGTATTTTGTAACTGTGTTTAGATGTATGTATACACTTGTGTCCCTAGCTGTCACTGACAGACATAGTGGTGCCATTATTGTATGCAGACATTGGTGCCATTATTGTATGCAGACACTGGTGCCATTATTGTATACAGACACAGTGGTGCCATTGTTGTATGCAAACACTGGTGTCTTTGTTGTATGCAGACAGTGGTGCCATTATTGTATGCAGATACAGTGGTGTCTTTGTTGTATGCAGACAGTGGTGCCATTATTGTATGCAGATACAGTGGTGTCTTTGTTGTATGCAGACAGTGGTGCCATTATTGTAAGCAAACACTGGTGTCTTTGTTGTATGCAGACAGTGGTGCCATTATTGTATGCAGATACAGTGGTGTCTTTGTTGTATGCAGACAGTGGTGCCATTATTGTATGCAGATACAGTGGTGTCTTTGTTGTATGCAGACAGTGGTGCCATTATTGTATGCAGATACAGTGGTGTCTTTGTTGTATGCAGACAGTGGTGCCATTATTGTATGCAGACAGTGGTGCCATTATTGTAAGCAGACAGTGGTGCCATCATTGTATGCAGACAGTGGTGCCATTATTGTATGCAGACAGTGGTGCCGTTATTGTAAGCAGACAGTGGTGCCATCATTGTATGCAGACAGTGGTGCCGTTATTGTATGCAGACAGTGGTGCCATCATTGTATGCAGACAGTGGTGCCATCATTGTATGCAGACAGTGGTGCCGTTATTGTATGCAGACAGTGGTGCCATTATTGTATACAGACAGTGGTGCCATCATTGTATGCAGACAGTAGTGCCATTATTGTATGCAGACAGCGGTGCCATTTTTGTATGCAGACAGCGGTGCCATCATTGTATGCAGACAGTGGTGCCATCATTGTATGCAGACAGTAGTGCCATCATTGTATGCAGACAGTGGTGCCATCATTGTATGCAGACAGTAGTGCCATCATTGTATGCAGACAGTGGTGCCATTATTGTATGCAGACAGCGGTGCCATCATTGTATGCAGACAGTGGTGCCATCATTGTATGCAGACAGCGGTGCCATCATTGTATGCAGACAGCGGTGCCATCATTGTATGCAGACAGTGGTGCCATCATTGTATGTAGACAGCGGTGCCGTTATTGTATACAGACAGTGGTGCCATCATTGTATGCAGACAGTAGTGCCATTATTGTATGCAGACAGCGGTGCCATTTTTGTATGCAGACAGCGGTGCCATCATTGTATGCAGACAGTGGTGCCATCATTGTATGCAGACAGTAGTGCCATCATTGTATGCAGACAGTGGTGCCATCATTGTATGCAGACAGTGGTGCCATCATTGTATGCAGACAGCGGTGCCATCATTGTATGCAGACAGCGGTGCCATCATTGTATGCAGACAGTGGTGCCGTTATTGTATGCAGACAGTAGTGCCGTTATTGTATGCAGACAGCGGTGCCATCATTGTATGCAGACAGCGGTGCCATTATTGTATGCAGACAGTGGTGCCATTATTGTATGCAGACAGTGGTGCCATCATTGTATGCAGACAGTGGTGCCATCATTGTATGCAGACAGTGGTGCCATTATTGTATGCAGACAGTGGTGCCATCATTGTATGCAGACAGTGGTGCCATTATTGTATGCAGACAGTGGTGCCATTATTGTATGCAGACAGTGGTGCCATCATTGTATGCAGACAGTGGTGCCATTATTGTATGCAGACAGTGGTGCCATCATTGTATGCAGACAGTGGTGCCATTATTGTATGCAGACAGTGGTGCCATTATTGTATGCAGACAGTGGTGCCATCATTGTATGCAGACAGCGGTGCCATTATTGTATGCAGACAGCGGTGCCATCATTGTATGCAGACAGCGGTGCCATCATTGTATGCAGACAGCGGTGCCATTATTGTATGCAGACAGCGGTGCCATTATTGTATGCAGACAGTGGTGCCATCATTGTATGCGGACAGTAGTGCCATTATTGTATGCAGACAGTGGTGCCATCATTGTATGCAGACAGTAGTGCCATTATTGTATCCTGTATTAATGTAATGTTTTCAGGTGTGGGACACCAGCACAAGCTACATATGTGTCAAGACACTAGAGGGACACACGGGTATCGTCCTGGCACTGTGTACATATGGCAACAAACTCTACAGCGGTTCTCAAGACTGCAACATCTTTGTAAGTGTTTTGTAGGTTGAAGTTGTCATTATCTTACTTATCATAAGGGCTGTTTGTGGGTAAAGGTTGCTTTCTTCAAGACATGGTTAAGGGGAGAGAAGTTTAGATGTCAGTTACTTCCCTTTGACTGTATGTGCTGTTGATAAATTCTTGCAACTGGTCCATCTTGTTCGAGCATGTCTCAGACATAAGATTGTTAAAGGTGATTCTTGATTACCCCAAAATTATTTCTAAATGCTTGTATGTGCAATGGAGGTAAATTTGGTGTCCTATGTGACTCTGTGACTGTGATGCTCTGACTGTGACACTGTGATGCTGTGACTCTGTGATGCTGTGAATCTGATGCTGTGACTCTGTGACTGTGATGCTGTGACTCTGTGATGCTGTGAATCTGATGCTGTGACTCTGTGACTGTGATGCTGTAACTCTGTGATGCTGTGAATCTGTGACTGTGATGCTGTGACTGTGATGCTCTGACTGTGACACTGTGATGCTGTGACTCTGTGATGCTGTGAATCTGATGCTGTGACTCTGTGACTGTGATGCTGTGACTCTGTGATGCTGTGAATCTGATGCTGTGACTCTGTGACTGTGATGCTGTGACTGTGATGCTCTGACTCTGTGACTGTAATGTTGTGACTGTGACGCTCTGACTCTGACACTGTGATGCTGTGACTCTGTGACTGTGGAGCCGTGACTGTGTGATGCTGTGACTGTGTGATGCTTTGACTGTGATGCTGTGACTGTGACTCTGTGATGCTGTCATTCTGCCATTCTGTGATGCTGTCATTCTGCCATTCTGTGATGCTGTCATTCTGCCATTCTGTGATGCTGTCATTCTGTGACTCTGTGTGTGATTGTTCCTGGTGAGACGGGACATTGATCCTGCCATCACAGACTGGTTTGTCTGGCCCGACTTGATAACTTAAGAATTGACTGCATTGTTGTTTTGCGTATATGGAGGTATAACTATAAACACTGGCGTGTATACTGTATAAATCTGTGTATTTCTTGAAATAAATATTTCAGAATCAATAATGTCACATACTGCTTATCTAACACAGAACAGAACTATAAACAAATCAGTGACATTGTTCAGCACAATAATGCAATTTAAGCCCCGCCCATCCTATTATCAACTATCCAGGAAACGGTAGTCTGACAGTGGGCGTCGTCTTTTTTCAGTTTAATAAGCTTTGTGCAAAATGACACTGAAATTGTAACTATCATTTTGGTTCATTGTATCAACAACTGATTTTTATGCTTCCTTCAGTTTGTTGTTTGTAGGTTACTGTGTATCATGTAAGGAATATATTCAACATATTGCGAAAAGGTTTTATGTATTCCAGCAATACACACTGTTGTGATGAAGTTAAGATTTTGTGTTGTGTGAGTGACTCCCTCCTCTGCTGCAGGTGTGGGACACAGAGGATACCTTCGAAAGCGTCACTGTGATAAAGGCCCACGACAACCCTGTCTGTACGCTGGTCGCGGCACGCAACATGCTCTTCAGTGGCTCCCTCAAGGTTGTCAGGGTAGGTAACCCTGAAACACCTTGGTCATTGTGCATCATGAGTGAGTGAGTGAGTGAGTATGGTTTTACGCCGTTTTTAGCAATATTCCAGCAATATCACTTTGGGGGACACCAGAAATGGGCTTCACACATTGTACCCATGTCGGGAATCTGACCCGGGTCTTCGGCGTGACGAGCGAACGCTTTAACCTCTAGGCTACCCGACCGCCCCCATTGTGCATCATGAACATGGCTGATATGTTCATACTGATATGTTCATACACAGCCGCTCCCTACCTCATTGACCATTGAGACCTAGCTCATGGTCAAGTGACAAACTTGGAATCATTCCTGCAGGCGGTGACCTGTCCTCCAGACACGTTCCGGACTACCAATAGTACCTCCTCTAGATTCTTTGACTTCTGCACGGGCTCCTGCACAGGCTGTTCCTCCTTGCTGTGCAGTTCCTGTTCCTCCTGTGGTTGACCCTGTGACCTCTAGTAGCGATGGGAACCATCAACAGTCTCCCGCCTCATTTCGGGCAGTTATGAGAAGGCGGATCCTACTCTTGTTCTTCATTGGATTGCATGACATGGCATGACAAATTACCTATAGTAAATATGAAGGAATTGGTTGGTCCTTAGATTGGGGCGGTTGGGTAGCCTAGTGGTTAAAATGTTCGCTTGTCATGCCAAAGACCCGGGTTCGATTCCCGAAATGTGTAATGCCCATTTCTGGTGTCCCCAGCCGTGATATTGCTGGAATATTGCTAAAAGCGGCGTAAAACCAAACTCTCTCACTCACTCAGTGGTCCTTAGATTAAGTGTAGTAATATAAAGGTATCGGGTGGTCCGAAACTTCTTTAGAGTAGTAATACATACATGTATTGATCAGTATCCTGATACTAAATTGAATAAACAATACCTGACCTGTTTACGCAATTTATCTCAAGACTGGTTCAGGCAGCTGTCATGATACACCAGTGCATGACTTACTGTCATTGTTAACATGATGCTCATGTGACTCCCAACCTCCAATCGTGTGCAGGTGTGGGACGCCGGAACGTACGAGCTGAAACAGGAGCTGACCGGTCTGAACCACTGGGTGAGGGCCCTGTCCGCCACGCAGGATCAACTGTTCAGCGGGTCATATCAAACAATCAAGGTCAGTCCACTCACGTACACAGCAGTCTCATATAATGGATAGTGTGGTAGATGGTATCATGATCCGATAAATATTCGAATGAAGTCACCATGAAGGAACGAGTTTTAAGCTTCATAAATCAATTCAGTGTCTGCTTGCTCCGAAAACTATTGATTGATGTTGCCAATAAGTTAAGATTCAATTGTAGGTGTTTTTCCGTGGTGAGTATATAGACAAACATGGCTGCAAATCGTTTGGCACTATATGATAGATAAATAGGACAGTTCACTCAAATACTATATTCATACGCGGTGACTTTAGGTCCAGACTTCAGATACAATGGTAGTTCATTCTCCCCTACTGATATTTGCTGTGTAATTTTCCAGTTTACTGCATCAAAAACATCTGAAAAGAAATTGGCAGCACATATGCTTTTTTTCCACAAACATAACTTCTAGTGTTACTACGTGTTCGACTTACTCACTGACTCCAGCTGTGTCTGTGTAGATCTGGGACTTGGTCACCCTGGAATGTGTTCGCAACCTCGACACGTCTGGCGGCAGCGTCTACAGCATCACCATCACCAACCACCACATCCTCGCAGGCACATACGAGAACTGTATTCATGTGAGTTCACTACAACAGCTTGCAGTCCCCTAGACCTCTGGGTGTAGAGCAGCTTTTTACTACAGTTGTAGTTGTAGTTGTAGTTGTAAATGATGTGTAGTAGTATAGACAATAGGGGTTCTGACGCAACCAACATGAAATGATACTATGTAGGTGTTCGTCAGAACCCCTATTGTCAACACTACTTGTATTAAGTTAAGTGAACATGTGTGATCAAGGCTTCATTGTATTAAGCATACCCTATTTGTGTGGAAATAAAGTCAGCTGTCAGAAGCCAGGGGAAATCACAGGATCATGATTTGTCCATCTGTTTGAAAGTCTTGGAGATTGACAGGAGAATTTTCACATTTATAAGAGTGGAAGTAAAAGGTGGAATCATGACACGAGCATGGGTGGGGTGGGGTGTCCATGGAGGGGTCAGGGAGCTGAAACTGAATGGCTGTGATGTACCTGTCACTGGGGGTAGGGGATTGGGTGGGGTGTCCATGGAGGGGTCAGGGAGCTGAAACTGAATGGCTGTGATGTACCTGTCACTGGGGGTAGGGGGTGGGGTGGGGTGTCCATGGAGGGGTCAGGGAGCTGAAACTGAATGGCTGTGATGTACCTGTCACTGGGGGTAGGGGATGGGGATGGGGTGGGGTGTCAATGGAGGGGTCAGGGAGCTGAAACTGAATGGCTGTGATGTACCTGTCACTGGGGGTAGGGGGTGGGGTGGGGTGGGATGTCCATGGAGGGGTCAGGGAGCTGAAACTGAATGGCTGTGATGTACCTGTAACTGAGTGGGGGGTGTTTGTTGGGGACAGGGAGGTGAAGTTGACAGGCTGTGATTACCAGTATTCACACTCTCATCTCATCTACATCCTAATATCTCTTTGGTCAGCAGAAACGAGGAAAAATAATTTCTCTTGGTTCCATTTTTAAAATAATGCTAATATGTAATAATGCTAGCAGATAATTTTCAGAAATAAAAAGGTGGGTATAATATTTTGTTATGTCCTGAAATGACATACCTTCATCCGTTAGGAGAATGTCTTGAAACTCGTGATTCAGTTCCCTTTTAACTCTCAGCATATTTGTTATGTTTGTGTGTCAGGTATGGGAGCACGGCACATACAAGCAGGTGACAACGCTGATGGGTCATTCCGGCACAGTGTATGCTCTAGCTCCCCTTCACACAGCTTCAGGAACAAAAGTCTTCAGCGCTTCCTACGACAGATCTCTCAGGGTAGGTGTTATAGCTGACAGATCTTTCAGGGTAGGCGTTATAGCTGACAGATCTCTCAGGGTAGGTGTTATATCTGACAGATCTTTCAGGGTAGGCGTTATAGCTGACAGATCTCTCAGGGTAGGTGTTATAACTGACAGATCTCTCAGGGTAGGTGTTATAGCTGACAGATCTTTCAGGGTAGGTGTTATATCTGACAGATCTCTCAGGGTAGGTGTTATAGCTGACAGATCTCTCAGGGTAGGTGTTATAGCTGACAGATCTCTCAGGGTAGGTGTTATAACTGACAGATCTCTGAGGGTAGGTGTTATAGCTGACAGCTCTCTCAGGGTAGGTGTTATATCTGACAGATCTCTCAGGGTAGGCATTATAGCTGACAGATCTTTCAGGGTAGGTGTTAAAGCTGACAGATCTCTCAGGGTAGGTGTTATAGCTGACAGATCTCTTAGGGTAGGCGTTATAGCTGACAGATCTTTCAGGGTAGGTGTTAAAGCTGACAGATCTCTAAGGGTAGGTGTTATAGCTGACAGATCTCTTAGGGTAGGCGTTATAGCTGACAGATCTTTCAGGGTAGGTGTTAAAGCTGACAGATCTTTCAGGGTAAGTGTTATAGCTGACTGATCTCTCAGGGTAGGTGTTGACTTACATATAACTTTCATGACTTATGGCTGACGTCTTGGTGCAGTACAGTGTAACACCCACTTGTACATAATTGTCTTCAAAACAGAATACCAACTCAAGCCGAAGCTCACTTGAGCTCACCTTGACATTGCTCTTTATATTCTGAAGCATAAATTCTACTAGTTTCACATCTTCCTGAGTCAAGGGAGTTAACTGATTCCCAGTTTTAAACCTTGCCAATCAAGATCTATACTGTGATAAAACAGGTCTTATATCGCAAAGTCATTAAATTATGTGAGCACCTTGATTAAAAACATGAAAAGACTTGGAAAAAGAGTTGGCGGTGCACTTGCTTTGCAAATCATGCAATCGTCCGAAATCTGCACGACAGTTTACTAACCAGATTTCTATTTTGTTGCATGATTTTGATTGGGCTATGCATAGACAAGTTAGTCCAGCCAAAATATAACTCCATAATACCAGCCTAGTTTGGCAGGGGTGGAAACTGGACTTTTGTAGTCAGTAAATTCCCTTGACTCAGGAAGATGCTAGTTTTATTTTGTGACACCTTGTCACTGTTGCCATGTCACCACTGTCACCATGTCAGGAGCATGTGGCATTGTTGTGACACCTTGTCACTGTTACCATGTCAGGAGCAAATGGCATTGTTGTGACACCTTGTCACTGTTACCATGTCAGGAGCATGTGGCATTGCTGTGACACCTTGTCACTGTTACCATGTCAGGAGCATATGGCATTGTTGTGACACCTTGTCACTACCAATATCAAACAAGTCCTCTGTCTTGTTGTAATCCCACCCCATACCATAACACAGCCGCCCCCGAACCGATCTTCCATGACACAATGATTGACGTAACGTTCACCTTGCCGTCAGTACACTCGAATCCGTCCATCGCTGTGGCTTAGGTGAAAATGAGACTCTTAAGTGAATAGAACTTGTCCCCACTTCATGGCCGTCCAGCGTAGGCACTGTCTGCACCACTGTAGACGTGTTTGACGGTAGTTTCCTGTCAAAATGGGACGCCTAGCGGGTCTTCTGGCGACAATCCCTGCACATCTGAGGCGATGAAGTACGGTTTGTGAAGATATTCGTTGAAGGCCAGGGATGCTTCTTGCAGTCACTGTTGCTGTCTGGAATCGATTTCGTAGGTGTGTTGTTCGAATCCAGTTGTCTTGTCGATTATTGGTTACGCGTGGCCTGCCACTCCGAGGATGTTCTCTGACTGCATTCGTCTGTTGCCAACGTTGCCATAAACACCAAATGGTGTTTCTGTGGACATTAAATTGTCTTGCAACATCATGTTGACTCGATCCTGCTTCAAGCATACCAATAGCTCGCAGACGCTCATTTTCAGACAGGCGTGGCATTTCGTAATGTTGTATAATTGCGTAATTTTGTTGTTTTTCTGAGTGGTTGTTGTCAGCACGATGCTACACAATGCATATGGAATCCCGTTAACGCACATGTTTTTATACCCATTCTTGGGTAGTGAAATGCATGGGGCTTGCAGTTGTGGTTTTTGTGACTTGATTTCATACATGCACTATAATATTGAAAACCAAACTTTACTTGTTTAAAAACTACACTAAAATATTTTTGTCACAGGAACTTTTGTTGTTGAGTATACATTGTGGGCCTTTCACTACACTTAGCATTAAACTAGAACTTCGTAACAAAAGTATTCACAAATATGTGCAAATCGTGTTGCATCACATGACTGCTTTGTAACTTCTTCATTTGCTAGTCATTTACTGTTTCATGTTTTGAGATGACCCCTGATGATGAGCCAAGATTTGCTGCTCAAAGGATTCCAGGCAAATGATTATAAGCATGAACACTAAAAGACTGCATGATCTCAAACCTAGAATCAGAAGGGTGTTCATTCGAAACTATGATTTATTGAAGGTAACCAAGCCTACAAGATATTCTTCTTGTGGGAAATTTGAAAATGTTTCATAAACAGGTTGCCCTTGGGTGATCACTCAACATGACAAAGTATGTTCAATGCAGACATTTACAAACAGTGGCAGACATGTTAGGAGGGACATAACTACCGACTCTAATGAGTCCTGGGATGGCAAGCATCGCCATGTTACAATCAGATAAAGATTTTTTATGTGAGTAATTGGAAAAGAAATTATTGTGTGACAGGTCATCAAGGTGAAGGAGCTCTCATTTAGTTTGAATCCGGACAGCTGACTGTGGACTAACAGCGGAGGCCTAATGTAGTGGCGTCTCCCAGAAATTCTGTGCAAGGTGCCGCCCTGAAGTCAATACATCAACTTCGCCATTCCCTTCATGATGTATTGGCTGATGTGTAGAAGAATACATATGGAGTCTCCACAGTTCCATAACAGATTGTCAGACCCATGAAGATCTGGGGTAGAATAGGTCTTCAGCAACCGTAATGCTTACCGTTAAAGGCAACTAACGGGATCATGTGGTCAGGCTCACTGACTTGTGTGATTCATGTCATTGTATCCCAATTGTGTGGATTGATGCTCATGATGTCAACCACTGGATTGTCTGTTCCAGACTCAATTATTTACAGATTGCCATCATATGACTGGAATATTGCTGAGTGTGGCGCTAAGCCACAAACAGACAAAGAAATAAACAAACAAACAAATTATAAGAGATTGTGGCGTGTATTAGTAGCTAGGGACATTTGACATTTTTGACTACCCTTGGTCTGTGTAGACAGCCAGGACTAGTGCCAATACATTTGATACTTTAGAAACCCCTTGATGCCAATACTGTAGGAGAAAAGCTCAAGGACCCCTGGACCCTCTTTGTTTCAAACACTGTATTGGCCTTTCTGCAACCATAGTGCACCTGTAAATACAAACTTATGTCTATTTGAACTGGCATATTGTAGCCTGATTAGTTACCTTAGGGTTTGAGTGAGTGAGGTTTTACGCCACTTTTGGCAATATTCCGGGAATATCACGACGGGGGACACCAGAAATGGGCTTCACACATTGTACCCATGTCGGGAATCAAACCTGGATCTTCGGCATGACGTGCGAACGCTTTTACCACTAGGCTACCCGACCGCCCCTACTTTCTTTAAGTGGTATTAGTTTGAAGGTTTTGACACATGTTTATGATAGATCACCAGGTGAGCTACAGTACTCAGTATCTTGTTGCAACATTTGGGAGGGGAATCATGTTTGCTTCTTTATGACTGATGAGACTTGCAGTGCTGTCCCCTGTCGGCAGCCCTGAGCTGAATGGATCCCCCGTACAGTTGTCATTAGAGCCCTCTATTGAGGATTGTGTGCTATCGGCAGCCCTGAGCTGAATGGATCCCCCGTACAGTTGTCATTAGAGCTGACTATTGAGGATTGTGTGTTGTCGGCAGCCCTGAGCTGAATGGATCCCCCGTACAGTTGTCATTAGAGCCCTCTATTGAGGATTGTGTGCTATCGGCAGCCCTGAGCTGAATGGATCCCCCGTACAGTTGTCATTACAGCCCTCTATTGAGGATTGTGTGCTGTCGGCAGCCCTGAACTGAATGGATCCCCCGTACAGTTGTCATTAGAGCCCTCTATTGAGGATTGTGTGCTGTCGGCAGCTCTGAGCTGAATGGATCCCCCATACAGTTGTCATTAGAGCCCTCTATTGAGGATTGTGTGCTGTTGGCAGCCCTGAACTGAATGGATCCCCCATACAGTTGTCATTAGAGCCCTCTATTGAGGATTATGTGCTGTCGGCAGCCCTGAGCTGAAAGGATCCCCTGAGCTGAATGGATCCCCCGTACAGTTGTCATTAGAGCTGACTATTGAGGATTGTGTGCTGTGGGCAGCCCTGAGCTGAATGGATCCCCCGTACAGTTGTCATTAGAGCTGACTATTGAGGATTGTGTGTTGTCGGCAACCCTGAGCTGAATGGATCCCCCGTACAGTTGTCATTAGAGCTGACTATTGAGGATTGTGTGCTGTGGGCAGCCCTGAGCTGAATGGATCCCCCGTACAGTTGTCATTAGAGCTGACTATTGAGGATTGTGTGCTGTGGGCAGCCCTGAGCTGAATGGATCCCCCGTACAGTTGTCATTACAGCCCTCTATTGAGGATTGTGTGCTGTCGGCAGCCCTGAGCTGAATGGATCCCCCGTACAGTTGTCATTACAGCCCTCTATTGAGGATTGTGTGCTGTCGGCAGCCCTGAGCTGTATGGATCCCCCGTACAGTTGTCATTAGAGCTGACTATTGAGGATTGTGTGCTGTCGGCAACCCTGAGCTGAATGGATCCCCCGTACAGTTGTCATTAGAGCTGACTATTGAGGATTGTGTGCTGTCGGCAACCCTGAGCTGAATGGATCCCCCTTACAGTTGTCATTACAGCCCTCTATTGAG